TAAAATTGAAGTGTTGGCTGGACTAGATGTTTTCATTTTTAACAGATGCCGAAATACTACATGAGAAGAGTTCGTATATGTACAATCAAAATATAGAAAATGAATTAGATCACTATCATACCTTTATTGTGCTGAAAGAAGTACAGAAAAATTTGAGTTAGAATTAAATGTATTTGTATAAGTCAAAAGAACAATCTTATAAACCTAGAATTATGATTGCGTTGAAGAAAAAATGACTACAATCAAAAAAGCTTGCCATGCATTCAACGAAAAACAAAATAATATATTGGAAAGTTTATTGAAAATAACTTGATAGTACCATATACTAAAAAAATGTCGAAACTCGTTGCTGCATAAAACAATTATATTCAATTTTATCACAGCTTAACAAAGTCTGAACTACAACTAGTGTGTCGAAAAAAAATTAGTACGCAGTCTTTAATGATAATTTTACAGATACGATTATAAAATGATTTATGGGTGATGATATTTCGTTCTACAATGTTACCATCTTTTCTTCTAAAAACTTCGTTTATGTCAGAAATGCGTGGGTCTTCTTTCAAAAAAATGCATTAAGAGAATAAATGTGGCAAAATCCTGTAATTCCACAGCATGACTTACCTTATTATGACTAGATCGTACAAGAAAACTGTCAGTAGTAACTGTCGCTTATTGCACAGACCGATTAAATATTGAGATTGATGATATGAAACAACAACACATCTTCATTATACATTTTTGAAATGTTAAAAATGATTAAAAAAAATGATACGTTAAAAAAATTAATACGATTAGTTCACAGAAATAAATGCAATATTGAAGAACTTGTATAAAAACTAACCATTGATTTATATAACCAGTTTTGATCGAAATAAATTTAGATTGAATGGAATTTTATTCTGAAGCAAGGATTGTTGAGATCCTAATTGTGCGCAAGGCTATTCTATGAGTTTTACTTTAGGATAAAATTGAATTGATTCACCATATTCATGTGTTGTTTTTGATGAACATAGATTTAAAATGTTGATCGTATGAGTAACTACAAGATAACTTCGACAATATGAAAAAGAAAGAAACCGTCTTTAAAAGAACAAACATTCTATCTGATGCACAACAAAGATAGACTGGAAGGAGAGATATAAAACATGAAGCCGAAAAGTATTTTCTCCTAAAATTATATTTACACATTGTTTTAATTGTAATGCACTTTGTGTTTTAGACCAAAGAAAAACAATCCAATTCGTCCCTTTATACATCATGGTTCTAGAAAACTTTGAGAGATTTGTTGAGAATTCAGAAGAGTTTAAGAGTCATAGAGCTCGTAATTTCGAATTTCGTCTCATGTTCTATCTGAACGAATAAGTTAGATGTGATGGTTGATCAGGTATGTCTTTGGAAGAAACAAGCAATGAGCGCCAAATTGGTGAATGATACTATCAAAAATAAATTTCAAATGTTGCTAATGATTGAGCAATATATAGAGAAATACTCAATAGACCATAATACTGCATAAATAAAATGATATTTTATTATAGTCTAAATCCTGCTCAATAGAGTATAGCCACTGTCTATTACGCGAATGAATGATATACGACCAGTTTCACGCATAAGATTTCGAAACACAATAAGAAGTTAGAAGTAGAAACATGATATCTGGATATTATACAATTTCTAAGATGCTAGCTTCATTCAAATAGGACCAGGTAAGTTAATTCAATTACATCGGGTATATATTTGTCAGAAAACCAACAAAAATTTAAGATTTATTTTTTTTGAAAGACACACTATAATATAATGAATACGAGTAAAGCAGACAGATTTCATACTTTCATTCATGAATGTTTACGTCAATTCATCTTCTTAATACTTAAAATCATGTCTCTAATATTAATAAGTGATCAAAAAGAAAATCGTAAGAATAATATTTAATACTCAATGTTTAGTGAAATTATTCGAAGCAGAGGAAACTTATTTCGTATTATCCAAAAAGTTCTCCTTTTCAAGTATTATCCTTTTCAAGATATTTTTGTACTCAAGAATTTCGAACGTTCAAATCTAGTAGATTGGTTTTCTGGCATTATGTGGTCGTGACACGGGGATTTGAAAACACATGTACCTCAGGAAAAACATTTGTGTTCGGATATTTCATTATTTTCAAATTAACTGATCGGTCTCGAATAGATTTAATAGATGATGATGTTCGTGATCCTGATCTTAGTCGTAATCGTGTTGATTCACAAGACAAAAACAACAACTTGAAGAACTTGATGATAAACTTTACCAGAACCGAAAATTTATTCAGATATTTCTTCATTGATGTAAATTTTATATGCATAAAATAAATAAATAATTACATGTATAAGATCTCATGTATTGGTCTGAATATTAATCAAACGCATCGAAAATTTTCCTGTTTCATTGTTTAATTTATTGATCAATTTGTAGGTTTCTTATTCGAACAAAAAAATATGATGTGAATTAAAAAATACATAATTCTGTAAGAAACAAAGCTTTAACGTTGACAGATGATTCAAGAATGAAATATTCCTTGTTTCAATATCATTAATTTGTCTTCAATTTAGATTACAGTAGTGGATTTTCATTATCATCACAAAGAATTCGATCTTTACTTCGCACATTTTTTTCGTATTTATCGATCCAGAAGTAATAGTCAACTCAATATATTATCAAATATTCATCTCTCATAGAGAGCACAATGCTGGATTAATTTAGATTAGGATATGTGCTGAGTATTTATTTGAATTTCGAAAAATAATCTTAATTTATCAATCAAGACGAACAAGAATCTATAAATAATTATAAGATATATAAAATTTGTTGAAATTCAGACAAGCTTCTACATGTTTGTCTTTTGAAAGATTCTTGCCCTGACATCAAAAACAAACGGCATGTGTCATCTACTTGTATATGTATGTAAACAAAAAATGTCTGCACGTTATTTACTTATTGGTGCATGACAACAATTAATAGTTATTATGTTTTCTTTATTGAACAAAAGCTATTCTATTTATATAATGCATAAGTTGTATGCCGATATCAGCTAAATGATTATATTGGATAGAAAAAAAAATACGGCATAGCCGCGCATCGGTCACCCTACCATGAGGAAGGTTTATACGCACTAAAAATAAAGAAAACTCTCTCCAAATCCAAAATTTCACTACTCACAAATTATGAAACACGTGGCAACTTCTGAGATACGTTGTTGATTGATTGTATAAACCGTATTTTTCCTCCAATAAGTGTCTGAAAACGGATTTTTTGACGAATTTCACCAAAAAACTATCCGTTCTGAGTCCCATTATATTTCATTTTTTGTCCAAAAAACAGGCAGAATTTTAATGTCATTCTGCGTTGAACGTGAAGCTGATATTCTCGCGCGATAGAACTATCTCTGTACTATTCGCGGATACGAGAAATGATGGGTTTTCATCATGATAATTAAAAGCTGTAAGGTCCCTAACCGTCCCCCTTAGAAAGTCAAAAAATAATGAAATTCCGTAACGAAGTGAAATTCCGTAACGGACAGTATTTACAGTTATTTGATTTGGTACAGCTATGCTTTCTAGGAAATGAATTGATATTTTGAAAGCTCATGGGAAACTGAATAACTTTTATATAGACCATTTATTTGTATGTCGTTTCGTTACGTAGTAAAATGCTTAACTTCTGCATCACCCTAAAAAAAATTTCCATTTTATGAAATTCCGTAACGGTCAATATTTGTTGAATAACTCAACTATGACTAGACAGAAATAGATAAAATTTTTACTGACAATAGATCTCAGCCAGCTCTATCTACGATAAAAATTTTAGCAAGTTTGCCTTGATTTTTGAGAAGCTACAGGTGTCACAATATGAAAAAATGAAATTCCGTAACGCGCGGCCACGCCCAATACATTTTTTGATTTAAGAGTGGTTTGAGTTATAGTTGATTTTAGAGTTTCTAAGCGAATGTTATCAAAAAAGAGGCCTTCACGACAGATCAATGATTATTTATTCTATGTGATGAATACGAAATAGACGAATTATAATAAAACGTACATATTATTAATGTAAAAAAGAATATTTTTGTTATTGCTTTTTTTCTTTTTGCTTCGTAATGCGCATGTCAGCTTCATGACGTGACTATGACGTAGTTCTTTTTACTACTATTGCAAAAAGGTTTCAATTGCGTCTGAAGTTGTATGCAATAGGATTTTGTTTCGTTATAATTGTTTCTCGTTCTTTTTCTGCGTATTTTATTTAAACATCGAGGCACAGTAAAGCAGCAATGAACGCAAATCATCTTGGTCACATGTAGCAGACACGAGGGAATGACTATCAGAAGGCAAAAGGAAGCATTTGCCACACCTAAAAATCTTACGAGTGGCATACACAAGATTGAAAGCATGTTTTTATTTCGTAGTAAGAAGATGTTACAATATATTGTCAAACCTCAATATTAAAACGCTAGTCTGCCTGTAATAGCAGAGACTAAGACTAAATCATAAGAAACAGATAAGAATTTCACGACGACAAGAGTCGTCTTCAGCGAGATTATTGTTGCTTTATCAACTCATATTTTGTCTCTATGATTCTTGGCAGAAAGCCAAGAGGGGTGTGGCTGTGGGTGTGGTATATCCGTTTACTTACATACTTCACAATCAAAATATTCATGTTTAGATTATATCAAGTGAAATAAAAATCGCAATAGAAACATTTTGCACTTTTAAAATTAAGCAAATTTTTTATTTGAAGGCATTAAAGTACAGTTTAATATATGCAACTATAAGTAAAACATTGATCAAGGACGATTTTTCTCATGTTCTGTACTAGTATGAATAACTGATGATGTTTATGTGGGTCAATACTTTGATGATTGCATTAGGAATCATTGAGTAAACAAAACTTCCATATAAATATCTTTCAAATTCATAAGAAAAACAGCAGTGGGATTGTTTGTGCGCCATTCACAATAATTAATCATTCATAGCAAAATGAAAGCGTCTGGATCAAGAACCAAAAATATAATAACAGAATATGGTGTTGGCGTTGAATCAGAATGTGGCAAATTAGATATCGTACTTATGCATCGACCAGGTCGAGAACTTCTTCGATTGAACAAAGACAATCTTCATGATCTTCTCTATGATGCTGTTCCAAATATCAATGAAACACATCAATCTCATGATTTTTTTTCTCAATATTTACGTGATCATGGAACACAAGTACTTTATCTAACAGATCTCTTATGTGAAACACTTACATTTAGTGATAAAGCACGTGATACATTAATTAATGGTATTGTTGCTCATTCATATTTTAGTGATAGTAATCATCAAGAAGCTGCAATGGTTCTTCAACAATGGTTACTAGAACGTACACCTGAACAATTAACTGAAGATGTTATTGCTGGTGTATCATGCACACAAGATGAATTAGGCACATCTGAACACGCTCAAACACTTTTAAAAGCTAATGATCCGACGAATCAATTTGTTATTCCACCATTACCCAATCTTTTGTTTATGCGTGATGGATTTTCAATTATTGAAAAAAATGTTTTTATTTGGGAAATGGCTAAACCAGCACGAAGAAACGAACCACTTCTATTACGTGTCATCTTTCAATATCATCCATATTTATCAACTTCTGGTTTAAAAATTGTTGAATGGGAGAAAATAACTGATAATGATGAATTTCCAACAATTGAAGGTGGTGATGTCGCTTATCTTGGTCAAGGTATTTTACTTATTGGCTGTAGTGAACGAACAAATCGAACTGGTATTGAAGAACTTGCATGTACAGGTCTTTTTCGTCAAGTCATTGCTGTTATTATACCTCCACGACGTACTTATATGCATTTAGATACTATTCTTAGTTCAGTTGGTAAACATGCATTTACATTACATGGTCTATTAGCTGAAACTATGGAAGTATTTACAGTAGAAAATCAAAATATGAATGATAAAACACTTTTAAAACCAAAATGGGTTTCATATGGATGCAATGTTCGTCAAGCTCTTCGAAAAATTCTTGATGATCCAAAACTTACTTTTTATGATGCTGAAGATGAAGAAACATCTATTCATGAACAACAACAATGTCGTCATAATGTTGTTGTTATTGATGATCATCATATAATGACTTATGGGGGTAGTGATCCAGAAAAAGGTATTGTTACTCAAATGGCTCGTAATGGTGCTTGTCAAGTTGGTCAAGTTCCTCCTCAAGGTTTATCCGAAGGTGGCGGTGGTGTTCACTGTATGACCAATGCTATTCGACGACGAGCTAAATAATTTAACTTTTTTTCTGAACATTTCAACAGTTTGCTTCATATATATAGTTGTTATTTCTTATATTTTATCGTATGCGTGTGCTATACATTACATTTAAAATTTACATTTAATATAAATAAACATGATGGCAATAAATGCCAGTATTTTTAATCGTTGTCTATAAGAATTGAAAGAAGAAATTGAATATGAAAAATAATTCGCAACCAAACATAGACTCGATTCGAATTTTTAAAAAATTAAATGACAAATGTATTGATGTAGTTGTTGTGTAGACGAACGGAGGGAGGAGGTGGGACCGGATGTGATTGAACTGAAAAACAATACTCAGACGCACATATAAATCCACCCTCTCACTTCATGTCTAGTACATCAATTTCAGAAAAAAAAGAAAAAGCACTTTTGATCATCAATATTTTTCAAGTTGTATTTTTTTCATAAAACAATTACTGAATGAAGTACATGCATCAATAGAGACACTACAAATCCATTTAAAAATACTGTTGCCTAGGTTAATATATAAACATATTGTTTGTGTATTGGTGAATCATGAGCACAAGAACTTCAGCATCGAAAAGGTAAATACGTACAAAAAAATAAAAATAAAGGGGTGTGGATGAGAATGAAGAGAACACTAGGCAAGCATTCAAATCGTTGAGATCTTTTTTTGCCTAACTGAAGATAAATGTTCTTATCTACTGAACTCCATGATACAACATTTTCTCATCGGTAGAAAATTGATATAGAGAAATGATAGTAGAGTATATTAAAAGAAGCATTTCGACAACGTTGTTAAACTAAATGCTAGAATCAACCAAAAAACACAAATTCAATAAGTTCAGATTGTTTTTCATTTTTCTTTCAATCTATTATTAAACTAAAAGATTCATTGAAAACAATTTCTATTTATTTGTTAAAGCTACATATTTTAATATATAATACGTGGTGGGATAGTATATTGATATGGTTCATAATTGATGAGATTTTGTTGTTGCGTTTGGATGCTTGGCGAACTAAAGACTAACACATACATTCGTATACAGTTATGGATCTTTCAATAGATATCATAATTATATTTACATTGTTTTTGTTGCGTTGATCACTTTTTTAAATCTATGACATGCTTAACTAATAAATCTGATAGACAACAAGTAATATTACATGAATAAGATTGAGCTTCTCGTCGGTCTAGAACAATATCTACACTTTATAGAAAAATAGTAATGTAAAATGAATGTTGAAAAAAATTTGGTGTTCGAAAATACTGTCACTCAAGGCAAATAGTTCAATTTAATGTAAGAATTTATTTTGTTCTTTATTATCCTATCATCATTATGTTTATCAGTATTTTTCTATTTTGTTTCATTAGCACCATTATCAAACCGCTGACATCAACAAAAAAAAATATATATATGTATAAGACGTAGTTTTAAGAACAATAAACACAACATGAAGAAAAAAAATAAATGAAGAGAAAAAAAAAAGAAAAAGGAAAAATATTAATTGCACACATAAATCTGACATATACATAGATATAGATGAATATAGAGACAAAAAAAAGTAACTCAATGATTCTGCGTACATTCTCTTTTTTTTGTTTGTTTGATTTTCTACAAGAGTAAAATGTACACACATGCCCAATACTACAATGTGGTATACTATGTCACGGGTAGAACGAGAGATGATAAAAGACATAAATGCTATTTCATATGTAGGACATTGTACTGTTGTTGTTGAGCTTGAGCAGCTGCTGCTGCTGCTGCTGCCGCTCGTTGTTGTTGAACTTGTTGACTAATCTTGAGTGAACGGCGAAATATCAAAATATGTGGTTCTAAAAAAAAAGTAAATTTTTTGTTTTCCTTTTATTCAAAATTGTACTTATTTACCTGGCTCATGAATCATAAAATGAACCCAACCAAGTGATTGTTGAACGCCAAGATGACGCCATTCATGTTCAGTTAATAATCGACCTTTCGGTACTTTCTTTGCAATTTCTTTGGGCAAAATAACATGACGATATTCATACATTTCCTTAATAAAAATTTTAAAAAATTTTCAATCAAATATTTAAAAATAAAAAATAAAAACTTGAAAAAATTTCCTTACATCTTTATATGTATCCGAATAATAGATCTGTTCTTTGTGTGATTCTTTTTCTTTTTGTGCAGCATCTTTAGCGGCCATTGCTAACGAAAATCTATATACTATATAAACGACGACAAATGAAAAAGCCTTTTTTGTTTTCGTTTATTCTAATCTAAAATAAATTAAATTTTCAATGAACGAATGAAATAAAAAAAAACATGTCTAACAAATATAAATTGATATGATAAAGTTATCTGACAACTACGGAAAGAAAGAAAAAAGAAAATTTGAACACGTAGAAAATGAAAAAGAAAAACACATTGCTTATTTATCCATCACAATGACTTTCAAAGCCTGATTCATTAAATTCTTCATTCACATTACTATTGATCATTTTAAAATGATTAACAGCCATTCGAAGTCCACCACGCATGAACATACTATTTTTAATATTTGTTGAATCACCAAGTGGATAATTTGTTGACGTATTCATTGTTGCACTAATAGGAATACGTGTTGTAGGAAAATGTGTATTTTGTTGTTGTGTTGATGGATCAGGTTCAATGCGATATTTTAATAAACGACGGAACATAAGAACAAATGGTTCTAGAAGAAAATAATATAAATTGATAATAAAGACGAAAAATAAAACAAAAATTTTACCAGGTTTATGTATAAGATAATGTTCCCAATGAGGTCCTTGTTTAATACCTAATGCACGCCATTCACATTCGTCCATTAGTCTATTTTTTGGTATTAATGAAACCATACTTTTATCCAAAATAATATGTCTATACTGATAAGTATCATCTTCATCTAGAAAAAAGAACACATATATTTATATATATATATATGTGTAATTTTTAAAATAACGATATTTCAACATACATGTTGATGAATAACGTGGTGGCTTTATTTGTTGATTTGATGGCATGATATTAATTTTCAAATGGCTAAATCTAAAAAGAACCAGTCACACAACAACAACAAGGAAATGTCTAATAATTCATCGACAAAAAAGAAAAGAAATGAATATGTTTATTTTCTTCGGAAAAATAAACTGTTTTGTACAAGAAAACAAAACGAAAGAAAAAAAAAAAAACAACAACAAATTAGTCTTTCTCACTCGATCAAAAATCATACGACTAGACATATTTATTCTGTTTTTAACATTTCATAAAATTTTCTTTGTTCTTCAGCTTTATAATCAGCTTTAGGTAATGAACGTTTTAAACCACCATCCCATTCTAAATCAACAAAACCACCTTGTTTAGCTATAGCTGCTTTAACACGACGAGCAAAATCAATTGATGTTTCACCTTTTTCAATTATCATTGGTGGTAAATAATAAACATCAACAACAATCGCCCATGATGTCATCATTAATATTAAATATTGAAATAATTCATGTTTAGATGAATTCCAAAAAGCATCACCAAAACGATTATCATATTTAATAGCAACAGGATAAATTGTTGCTTCAGTTATTTCAAAACAACCTTTTTTAAACATCATTACGGATGTATTATTAATACATGTACCTTCAGGAAAAATTAATATTGGTAAATTATTTTCACTTTTAATATGTTCACGCATTTTTTCAGCAACCATATGACGATCTTTAGCTTCTGAACGTTCAAACCATATATGATTAGCTGTATGTGATAATGTTCGTTGTACCATACCAAAAAATCCACCTTGTTTTTGTCCAATCATTGAAAAACTATTATCTGTTGATAATATAATAACATCAATAGGTGATGTATGATTAGCAACACATATTGAACCACATTTAGCACGATGTTCTGTATTATGATATGTTATTATAGCAGAAAAAACACGTGATAATATACGATGTAAAACAATATTTATATAAAAACCATAACGTAATTTAGCATCTTTTCCAGGAAAATATTGAAGAAATACAGCTGAACCTAACATCCATAAAATACCAATAATAAATAGAAAAAGACGAAATGGAAATAATATAAAATAACGTATACAAAATCCAAGAAACCATAATAATGTTATACGCATAGAAAAATATGCATGTTGTTGTTGAGTACGTGTTAATAAATTCCATACAGCCATTTCTTCGGCAGATGTAAAACGTTTAGTTACATCATCATCAACAATAGCTTCAAGACCTTGACGAGTATAATCGACGATATCTTCTATATTCAAAAAGAAGAAAACAAAGACAATTTCAGAAAAACTTCAGCTTGTTTTTTGTTTTTCATAATTATTTGTTTATTATTTCTTCTAACTATAGATGAGCAACTCAAATGATGAGCATGAAGATAAATATCACGTCTATTGAAAGATTAGTGAATGTGCATGTTAGTCTTCTTCTGTTCATAGTCACATCCTTTTTGCGCGTCTAACTTTTCCATACTTAGTATTCAGATGTGTTGATAGTCTATTACGAACATTATTGAATGGTATATCAATACGTTTTGAAGGAAATATCATCGAGTATGCGTCAGACAGATGCCATATTCAGCTGCTTTCTTGTTTATAGATAGGGTTCGATGAGAGTAAAATAGTCTTGACAGAACAATGAACTTTGGACTTTATTTCTTAAGTTATAGCTGTTTTAATGAGTTTTCGAGAAAACTTAATTTTCTTATGAAATATGAACCATATTTGTAAATTTCATATCTCCATAGGAAAGTGTATTTTCTCTAACTGAAACTTTCAGAATCTTCAGAAGATTACTATACATACATTTCAAGAAAATTTCAGATTGAAATTCAATCCATAGATATATCCGTCAATAGGCTACGGAGATGCTGAAAGTTATTATGATAGTTAGAAGTTAGGAAAGGACGTTTGAAGGCATTTATTCGTTCACTATTTCACTAGTGTTTCTAAGATCTAACAAGAAGCAATAGAATCAGTACACTTGATCTTGGAAAACTGTTCCACATGACATTCAGAAAAAACAAAATGAATACAAAATTTTTATAGTATCGATTAAAAAGAGATGAAGACGATGCAAAGATCCTTAAAATTCTTTTCATTTCTATATTGATTATAATAAGCTAGTCAGTCTATACATTTTATAAAATATTATCAAAAAAAAGTGTTGAAATATAGAATACATGTACTACTTCTTTATTGCATTTCTAATGGATTAAATAGAATGATGATGAAGAAATGTATTCCAAAATAGATAGAATAAAATAAAGCTTCCTGTGATTATCAACAACATGTTTTACATCTTAATTCTATAGAAATTGTGCTGACAACTTTTTTTTATCTGCGTTTGAAACATAACAAGTTTATTCTTGTGAACGACAGCTTCCTTTAATTACGACTGTATTGTGTTATGTCCTATTCTAAATGAGTCTTGATGATATAGATCAAGCGAAAATTAAAAAATTTAGTTTGACTATTTTTTTATGGCATATCAATTATGATTAAAGGCAGTTTTCTACCCTTTAATCATCACATCTATTTAAATCTATCTCGCAATTTATTATTAATTACCAATCAAAGTACTTGAGTCGAGTACAATCATTCTAAGTTATTCTTCAATGTTGTTTTTCTTTCTACTGAATTTTCCAAAGTTATATTCCATTATTTCTTTTGAATAATTCTCACATAACATAATCTATTGATATTTCCTAGGACAAAATATATTTTTGTGAAAATTTTTATGCTAATTTTTTTTTAATTTCGATTAAGTTAAGAAAAAGTTTTTGACTCAATCCCTATGGCATTATATCTTCGCATCGGTTGAATCAAATGGACTACTCTATTGATCAATCATAGAAATTTATTCAAAATATTTTTGTCATACGGATAAGATAGGCAAAGTATTATTGATGGTATCATAAAAGCAATTTCACCTGTTATCAAGTAATAAAACTACATATGTATTCTTATTTGGCAATGAGCAGAAATTTCTTCAGTTAGACTTTTTTTTGCTATCAATCAAAAAATCAAGCTCATTCGAGCAAATCAAAGCAAAGATATTTTAATCTTTTATCTTAATGTTATTTATAGTACACTGTGTAGATTTCGATTATTGCAATACTATCCACTATTGATAATAAATGATTTTAATCATTATTTATTACAATATGCATGAAATCGAGACCCAAAGATAAATACAATTATGTTTCAAGGTAATTGAACAATTAATTTTGGTTTTGCGGTTATGCTTATTAAGAGAAATGAATATATAAAATTCAGCTATTTCAGTTAGTTATACATATATTTTTCTTCAATGAATGATAAAACTTTGCATACGTTCGATAACATCTGTCAAGGTTAGTTTTTAAAATAAAAGGTCAACAATCAGTTCATCCTTGTTATCAAGACGAGATACTAAACTTAAATATCGATACGAATTCACCTTTGCAAATATTAGTTTACTATTTATAAAAAAAAAAAGAAAAAAAAAAGGTCATCAATTTAGATGTGTACTGACAACGTTTCGGGTCATTAAACATGAAGACAGAGTGCATAAATTCGAATAAATTTCATTTTTCACTGACAAAAATTCTTACCTAATTTAAATTGAATATCGGTTTGTGATGGAGTTCCTGATACTTTTGGTTCTTGATCAGTTGTTGATGTTATTTCATGTGATGATTCCGATTCATTTTCATCATTAATTTCATTTTTTGAATCACTTACTAATGGTGTTTTTGATGATATTTCAATTGGATTATCTTGTGTTTTTTTATCTTTTTCTATTGTTGTTGATGTAGATGTTTGAGTTTCATCCGAAGATCCATTAGAATTAATTGAAAATTCTTTATCTCGTTTTATTTTTGTTGCATAATCAAATATCAATGCTAATAATTGAACATAAAGTCTTCGTAAACCAAGGGATAAATTTAATGCTGCAAGTGTAAGTACAAGTACAGCTAGGCAAACCATAGGTGCACATAGAATACCTATGATAGTAAAAATTTGTGTTGTTGTTATTGTCATGATTTATTTGAAATTGTACAATGATAAATAATAAAAAAGTCTAGAAAAGAGTAAAGAATAAATATGTTATAGAAAATGATTAAAGTACAAAGTTCACAACAAACAAAAATAAATATATCAACCATTTATGAATTCTATAATTTTTTTTATTTTTATTCAAGAAAAAAAAAATGAATTCTTTTTGTTTCTGACACATACCTGAAAATTTTTTATCTCGAGCATTTTGTTCACAATCATACACACACACACACTAACGAAAGTGAATGTTAAACGTGTATGTATATAAGATTTTCGTTTGTTTTTTTTTTCTCTTTTCCTATTAACTATCTCTCTCATATAACATACTGTTTTCGATCAGAAGAAATGATTATATTCGTCAGTGAAAAGAAACATACAGTGACGGACTGATCATAACATGTTTTGCAACCCTCGATTATAAATATATGGATATACTGCGCGTTTATATATATATATATACCTGAGAGAAACGAAAATAATGTACGATAAGAAAAAAAAGCAAAAAAAAGAAGCCACGAAGTAAATCAAAATATAAACAACATAAATATTATTTTAGTTTGTGTCTATTTTTGTTTATTTCTTTTACGCAGCTAATTATTTGTTTTTAATTAATTAATTAGAAATTCAAAAAAAAAAATATCACAATCAAAACACAAAAAACGAAAAGCAAAAAAAAAATGTGAATAAATATTAATGAAATAAAAGTTAAACTATAAATGAAATATGAATTTTGTTTATCACAATTGATATTTATCAGGTTAGTATTTAATCGATAGATAGAGATTAGTTTTATCACGAATGAATAGAAGAAAAAAAAAATGAGACTAAAAAAATAAGATATTTAAATAGTAGGTTGATTTTTATCAGCACTTTCATCTGGTGCTGATTTTGTACCATGTGGTGCAACAGTTAATACATTAGCAAGAGGTACTAATGGTGTAACATGTAATGTTAATCTTAAAATAGAACAAAAAAAAAAAAGACTCGTTAATTAAATATTTCTTCATGAAAATCACATCTTATCTTACTTATGTAATAAAATCATACTAATACCAGCAAGAATCAAAAAGAATACACAACTCATAAAAATTATTTTTAATTCAAAATCCTAAATAATAGAAAAATTTTTGTTTTAAATAAAAGTATTTTTTTTTTTTTATTTTGTACTTTAAGAAGAATGATAACCACAATTAAATTTAATGGAATTCGAAAATAATTCATTACAGTAGCACGAGCTAAGATAAATTAAAAACAAGAATGTTTGAATAAAAGAAAAAAATTTAATAATAAACAAACCTTCTTCGGGCACATATTTACTGCGCATTGTTGCCATTGCTCTAATTTAATTTAATAGAACAAAAAAGAAAAATTTTTCAAAATTTCGTTTATCATATAAACTAAAGAAAAAATGGGATTTTAACTATTCTCGATGTTTTTAAAATCTAGAAAATGTTATTCTGTAGAAACAAAAACTGAAATAATCGATGTGATTTAATACCAGTTTTTGCATTATCAGTCTTTCAAGTGTTTCGAAGAAAAACACCAATTTTATAGAGTTCACTGAGTTCTATGTAACTATATGATAAGGTCATGAAAGAACCTTTCTTTATCTTCTCAAATGACGAATATATAAATGATCAAAAAATAACTTACGGCCAAAAGATACCAACACAAAATTCAAAGACCAAAAATGCTATGAACATGATGCCTTGACCCTAGAAAACAATAACGATTAATTTATATGAAAAAATTCTTGATTTACATAAGGCATGAATATTGGTACACTCAAACATAAAGCCGAGATAAAAACAATTGATCTAAATAAATCAATGAAATGATAGATAAGTAATAAATAGATAAAAATCTTCATCGACTCAAATCTTATTTATCACATATACAAATGTTCTGAATATTTCAATATATATTTTCAACCAAGAATGTAAGTCAAAAGTATGAGCTTGCCTTCACATTGCTTAAATTCTAATGAATAGAATCTATTAATTCTAAAAAGGAAGTACTCCAAGAATCAGTTAATTCTTCATCATATAAGAGCTTTTCTTTAACTATTTACTGTAAATAAACTCTTTTTAGAATTGTAGCCGTTATTCTGTAACTAATCGGACGTAAACAAAAAAAACACTCCATTACTCTTTGAAGATCATATTTCCGTAGTAGTTCAATAAACTTAACTACAGAAGACTATTACCTACAAGTCTTATAAAAAACAAAAAAAAAAACCTTCTAATAAATAGAAATAACATGCAAATTATCATAGTATTCGTAACAAGTAATCATAGACCGACATATTATCTAATCTTTTGAATAAAGAAAAATTATAAACTAGACTCAAATTACATGTTAAAATATAGAACATTAGTATTACATATATAAAATTACAAATAATACAAAATTTAATAAAATTCTATTTCTTCTTTATGAGTTAACAAGCTTAAACAAACTATTACATATCTTTCATTATAATTCCTATTGCATTCAAATATTGACGATAAACTCATATCCTTGACCTACTTTTTTTAATAGAATATTTACATAGCAAATTTTCAGATTTCAATCGATTGAAGATTTTTCTTCTCTATATTATAATTTAAAAAAAAATAGATAAAAAGAAAAAGAAAATATTCACCTCATAAATGATTCAGGTGTTGTATAATTACAAAAGACTTTAAATGAGTTTGATCCCATCATCATAGCAACCATATAACCAGCAAATATATATCCTAAATTAAAAACAAAAGATCAGACTATATATAAGACAAAGTTTTTTTTTTTTTTAAATAAAAACCATGTGGAATGGGCGGATTTTTATTATCAGTTTTATCAATATTTGATTGATTTAATGCTTGAGTTAAAGCTGGTGTCCATTCAAGTACAAATACATACATTGATGCTTCAAATAAAGCTTGAACAACACCAAGAAGAAAAATTTTTTTATCTATTAAATCACATATAATAATTATAAATTGAAATTTATTTATATTATTTTACCAGATTTAATAGCAGTCCAAGCAGAAATAAATGATTGTGATATAGGTGCATTAGCATCACCATAATTTTCTGACCATGTTGTTATCAATAAAATACACATAGCAATAAATGAAAATATAGCACTATCGAATGGAGCTCTAAAAGAAAAATGCTTTTTTGTTTTTTCGATATTTTAAAATTACTAGAATAAAAAACCAATTGATATCACTCATACAGAACTGAAATAGCCGCCATGGCTGATGAAGATATTCTTCTAACTAATAGTTCTTGTTCAAGCTCATATCTTACCACTTGTTAGAATATCTGGTATAAATAAAACTCTGAAAAAGATTTATACTACTATCGCTTTCTTTTTGAGTTATAATTGTATTACTGAATTTTTAGCCTCCGATAGGATATCACGAGGAAAATTGAATCGCGAAATTTAAGTCTGAAAGTTTTACTTCACAATAAATTTATAATATCTTAAAAGTTTCAGCAAAAAAAACAACAACAAATGCTTCTATGTCAAGATAACAGAACTATAACACTTTATCCACATCCATATAAGCAAGTGATCTACATCTCACTACTAGTCTCGGATCATCTAATCGATAGCATAATTACTTCATTGTGACAGACGTTTACTCTTGTGATTCTTCTCTTGAAACTATGTGTCAAATATGACGCTATAATTCATAAAAATGTCACTAACGAAGGAACATTCCCAAGTGTCACGTCGCTTTTCAGTTCAGACTCTATGCATAAGGTAGACCCCAGTGAGGTATGAAAAACCCCAGAAGAAGAAGTGCCCTTAGGCCTTATTCTTCTGGGGTTTTTCATACGTCACTGGGATCTACCTTATGCATAGTCTGAACTCAAAAGCGATGTGACACTTGAGAATGTACCCTCGTAAGTCTTATCTTTACATAAATATTATTCGAAGGCTCTGAATTGTTTTTTTTTTTAATTCTTACACATAGCCAAAAGTATTTGCTACGGATTGTGCAACTATTCCCGATATAATAGCTACTACAGAATTTCCAAAGTATGCATTAGCAAATATAAGACCCAATGATTCTGGTTCAAAATTTCTCTACAAGAAAAAAAAAAATAATAATTTTTTTGCTTTATTAATTTTATATTCATACTCGTCGATGTTCATTAACTAACCATGATTCGAATGCACTAAATAAAACCGATGTTGCCATACCAGCAAGTAATCGTCCAATAAATAAAATATAAAAATTTGAAGAATGCTATAATAAGCAAAAAACAAAAAATCAAAAGAGTATTTTATTTATTCTGAATATTTCTTAAAAGAAAATTATTAACCTTAGTTGCACATGATAGTCCATAAAGAATACCATACATAATACATGTATTTCGTCTTCCACTAAATAATAAGAACAAAAGAAATTTATTAAATTCAAATAAAAACAATTTTTTTTTAGTTTCCGTTACTATTTATCTGCAAGTGAAGCAACAATGGTACCAAATATCATTGATGAACCAAAACCAGCTATAAAAAGTACTTCAATTTCATGTTTTTGTATGCCATAACTTTCATATAATGCATAAACATGAGGACCTTGAAGCCAATCACCAGCTAAGAAATAAAAAATAAATAGAAATCAATCGTTTTTGTTTTTTTTATTCTATCGAGTTTTTACCAACGGCTAATAGGTAAACAAATAGATAAGTTTGTTGAAAACCTCGATAATTAGGATCTTTAGAATGTTGTTGAACTTGTCGAGTATAGAAATGTAAAATAATACATGCTAATATTAAAACTCCAAGTGAAAATATGAATATATCCATATTTATAAATTTATTTTTAGTAATTATTCAGAATTGACAACAGTTCGTTCTGCTTGAATGATAGACACAAAATAACAGGGTAGAATACGGTGTTGTCTTGCTCCCCTTTCTCTTATTTTTTTTTATTATTATTATTAATTCAGTCTACGCCATTCACATCAATCGAAAGTAGACGC